TGTGCACCTGCAGAATAGCAAACCAGAGATTCTTTGCAGAACCCCGAGACTAGATGGAGAATGGGGGTGGGGGGACCAAGGCCGAGCCAATTGACTTGGGCACTTGTGGACGCCAGTGAATGGGGAACAGCTGAGCTGGACTTCAGGTATCGTGCATTTGGGAATCGGTTGCCTTGGGAGGAGGCTGGTCCGTGTTTACATCTTTGGTTATTTTTAAGTGTGCTAATTGCCTCTTTAAAGGAATTGTCACCATTGTGTGATTCCAATATTTTGATACGGCATATGCTTATTTTTGCAAAAGGCTTCTGGTCGGTTGGGACCATTCCAGTGCCTGGAGGATTTGGGTTTTTAGCTGAAAGCAGCGGGCTCGTGTGTGGAGTCTGCAGTCTCTGAGTGCTGGTTCTGGGTGCCGGGGGCCAGGCTGGAAGGCGGCTGTTCAGAAAAACGAACGATTCAGGGTCAGGGGGCTTCTGTGGTGTTGGGGTGGGGGGAGAGAAGTGGACACACCCTGGAATGAAGTCTGAACCGGCTGTCGGCCCCGTGGCAGGCACCGGTCACAAGACAAACGTAAGCTCTGCCCATGTGGTGCCAGGGTCTGGACGAGCAGAAGAAGGACAGTGAGTAGGGATGGCGGCAGGGGTGATGCCACAAGCAGCTCATGGAGGGGCAGTGGAGCTAGCCTGTGGGGAGGGGAGGCTGGCTGAGGGCCTGGCAAGGGTCTGGGGAAGACTTCCTGATACTTAGCTCTCCACGAGGGGATGATGCCAGTGAGACCCACCTCAAGGCACCAGGTCCGTGACCATCTTTACCTCATGGCATGTCCCAGGGCCAGAGGGATCGTGAGCACTGAGGCAGGCGCACGCCTTGATAAGCACTTATTACACTCCCAGTCGGTCCTCTAAGTGTACATATCACCCTGCTGAGCATTACTGGGTGGCCCCCCAGAGGAACACCCAAGCACCATCAAGGTGTGCCCGGACACCCCACCACCACGGGGCCCAACCAGCACCATGCCCTTGGCCCTTTGCACTGAACCATGGGCCCAGTGGACTGAGAACCACAGGAGATGCCCCCACCCTTTTGCTCCCCGTAGCCGCCAAATTAAGAAAAAAGAGGGGCCGGAGCAATAGCACAGCGGGGAGGGCATTTGCCTTGCACGTGGCCGAGCCGGGTTCGATTCCCAGCATCCCATATGGTTCCCTGAGCTCCACCAGGAGTAACTCCTGAGTGCAGAGCCAGGAGTAACCCCTGTGCATCGCTGGGTGTGACCCAAAAAGCAAAAAAAAAAAAAGATAACGTGCCCCCTTCCCCCCACCCCACCCCCAGTGCCCAAGCCGGTGGCCTGAGCACTCACCAGAGCAGTTCGCAGACTGTGGGGAAACCGTGAGGATGCTGAGCAGCTGAGCTGCTGGTTGGTTGCCTGCTCCGTGTCTCTAGGCAAAGCCCTTGGCATCTCTGAAACTCCAGGCGAGGAGATCTGGGACATGGTCCCAAGCAGTCCTGAGCAGGCCTGCCGGGCCGTGTCTGAGCACATACTGCCCGGACTGACTCCTTCCCCTGTGGAAGGAATTCTCTCCATACCCTCCTCCTGTGCCGGGTTCGAGAAAATGAGTCCCCAGGGTTGTCCCAGCCATGCCAGGGCTGAACATTAAACAGATTCAAGATTCAAGTTCGCTTCTCATGTCTTGAATGGGACGGGTGCTTCTGGGGCACAATGCAGGTCAATCTGGGGCTCACCTCGGGGTTTGGCCTCATTTTTTAGGAAGTATGGAGGTGGGGGGAGGCATTGAGACCCAGCAGATTGCTGGCAGGGAGGGGAAGTGTGAGATGGGTGTGGGAACAGAGTATAAGCCACGCAGAGCAGGAGAGAGCCTTACAGCAAGGGGGTGGTGGGGTCATGTCTGGGACTATGGACAGGACCACAAGAACGGGCGGAGCCCGGAAGTGCCCGAGCAGCTTGATTTGATGCTTGCCTTCCCGGGCCCACTCTGGCAGGGCCGTGCTTCTGAGCTGCCGAGATGAAGGATGTACCTTGGGGGGGGGCTGTATGGGCCCCCTGCAGAAGGGAGGGGGCGCCCCTCTGGCTTGCCCCCTAGGGAAGGGAGTCAGTCCACAAGTGGAAACGCTGCTTTAGGGGCATTTTATGGGGTTAGGGGTCTCACAATGGAGACGTTACTGGGCCCACTTGAGCAAAAATTGATGAACAACGGGAGGACAGTACAGTACAATACAGTACAGGGGTGACTGTGGGTTTGTGGGTCTCCTTGCTGGGGAGGATCGAGGGGGGTAGGGGAGATAGAGGCCCAGGGTGTATGCGGGGCTTTGCACTCTCTGGCCTCTCAGGGGCCCAGGAGGCAGCAAATGGAACTTCAGGAGGTTTCGAGGCTCATCTTGGGGTACAGGTGTGACCAGGTGGAGAGGTGGCAATGAGGCACCGAACTCATCTCTCCTTCACCCACATCCAATTGTTTGGGGGCTTGTCCTCCTGCTCTGCCTCTCTGTGCCCTACTGCAGCCCCCTTCACCCACTCCGGCACCAGGCAAACCCTTTTATCATTTTAAACTCATTTAGTTTTGTTGGGGGCTGGAACGATAGCACAGCGGGTAGGGCATTGCCTTGCACGTGGCCGACCCAGATTCGATTCCTCTGTCCCTCTCAGAGATCCTGGCAAGCTACCGAGAGTATCCCCCCCACACATGGCAGAGCCTGGCAAGCTCCCCGTGGTGTATTCGATATGCCAAACACAGTAACAACAAGTCTCACAATGGAGATGTTACTGGTGCCCCCTCGAGCAAATTGATGAACAACAGGAGGACAGTGCTACAGTGCTTAGTTTTGTTTGGGGGCCATACCCAGTGGTGTTTAGGAATTACTCCTGGCTCTGTGCTCAGGCATTCCTCTCGATATGGCTTGGGGGACCATATGGGATTCCAGGGATCGAACCCAGGCTGGCTGCTTGCAAGACAAATGCCCTGCCCACTATTCTATCGCTCCAGCCCCAGCATACCCATTTTTTAGAATTAAAGGTAAAGGTAAAGGCCCTCCCGTTGATCGTCGATTTGCTCGAGTGGGCCCAGTAACATCTCCATTGGAGACTTTGTTGTTACTGTGTTTGGCATATCGAATACTCTCGGTAGCTTGCCAGGCTCTCCGAGAGGGGCGGAGGAATCGAACTCGGGTTGGCCATGTTGGCCGCTTGTAAGGCGAATGCCCTACCGCTAGGTAACATGGGTACAATAATGTTACTATGGCGCTTACATTTATGGATATTTTTTGTGGGGGGGGGGTCAGGGGGGCTGGGGATGTGTACAGGGCTGACTCCTATCTCTGTGCTCCAGGATCACTCCTGGAGAGGCTGGGAATCATATTGGTGCAGATGCGGCAGAAGTGGTGGTGGTCGTTCTCCATGTTCGCTTGCGATTCTCAGGTTCTTCCATATCTTCAAGAATAGAAATATTGGGGCCAGAGCTATAGTACAGTGGGTAGGGTCTTGCCTTGCACACAGCTGACCCAGGTTCAATCCCCGGCATCCCACATGGTCCCCCAAGTACCGCCAGGAGTTAATTCCTGAGTGCATGAGCCAGGAGGAACCCCTGTGCATCGCCGGGTGTGACCCAAAAACAAACAAGCAAAAAAGAATGGAAATATTGAATAGTAAGATGCTCAGGTGGCTGGAGCGATAGCACAGCGGTAGGGCATTTGCCTTACACGCGGCCGAACTGGTCGGTCCAGGTTCGATTCCTCCGCCCCTCTCGGAGAGCCCGGCAAGCTACCAAGAGTATCCCGCCCACACGGCAAAATCCTGGCAAGCTCCCTGTGATGTATTCAATATGCCAAACACAGTAACAACAAGTCTCACAATGGAGCCGTTACTGGGCCCGCTCAAGCAAATCGATGCACAAAGGGAGGACAGTGACAGTGAAAGATGCTCAGACTCAGAGTTGGAAAGTAGAAAAGTTTATTGCAAAGTAGAAAAGAGAAGGAGCTCCCCAAGTGGGGAGAACTGAGTTATAGTATAGAACTGAGTTAACTAAGGCTCTTTTTGTGAGATTTTTATAGGAAAACCAAGTCTTTGTGTTACAGAGAATGAAGGGAGCCGACAGCTCTGAAGCAGGATTTTATGATGAACAATTATTAATCCCTGTTTATTAGAAAAAGCCCAGGAATTTGCAGGGAGTCAAGGGTGTAGGATGGATCAGCCAAAAGCAGAACTGCTCAGAGCAGCTGGCAAGGGCAAACTGAAGCTTCCTTTTCCAATATGGGTGCCAGGGATTGAACCCAAGTTGATCGTGTGCAAGGCTAACTCCCTACCTGCTGTATTATCTCTTTGGACCCCAAATTTATGGTTTTGATATAGAAAGTCGAAGCACATCCACCACTACAAAGTACCCAAGACCCTCCACCAGTGGTCTTATGTAGCTTCTAGGCTACCTCATCACCCTACCCGTATCCTACCCTTCTTATGGTCTCAGTTCTGTAATCCAGGGTTAAGTCTTTTTAATCAGTACTCTGTGCTCTCTTGTTTTATTTCTCTGTATTTATACCACAGATTATCTGGTATTTGCCCTTCTCCCTTTCAAATAATTTTTATTTTTGCTTTTTGGGTCACACCCGGCAATGCTCAGGGATTACTCCTGGCTCTGCACTCAGGAATTACTCCTGGAGGTGTTCAGAGGACCATATGGGATGCTGGGAATCGAACCTGGGTCGGCCACGTGCAAGGCAAATGCCCTACCCACTGTACTGTATATATATATATGCTCCAGCTCCGTCTCTCTCAAATATTTTTATTTGTTTTTTGGGCCACACTTGAAGATGCTCAGGAGGAGTCCTGAGAATGTGGACATCTGACTGGCCGTCATTGCCTCTGGACCCTCTTCTCTGCTGTGCTGTTGTCCCTTCTCTCCTTTGACCTGTAGTCATTGTCGTCATTGTTCTTGGTGCAGGGTCTGCCATGGTGAACCACTAACAGCCTGAACATTTCTTTTTCACATTTTCAGAACTACAACAGCCAGAGCGAGAGCAACGAGGACTATGAGATCCCCCCAATAACGCCCCCCAACCTCCCCGAGCCGTCGCTCCTGCACCTGGGGGACCACGAGGCCAGTTACCACTCGCTGTGCCACGGCCTGACACCCAACGGCCTGCTCCCTGCCTATCCCTACCAGGCCATGGACCTGCCGGCCATCATGGTGTCCAACATGCTGGCCCAGGACGGCCACCTGCTCTCCGGCCAGCTGCCCACGGTGAGTTGCTGGCATGCGCATGGCCCCCACCACTGGTGGCAGGGCAGGGGGTGAGGACGGGAGCAGAATTTCCATGTCTTAACGGGGACCCTCTGCTCGTGGCCGGGTCTGGTCGAAGTTCTCGATGCATATGGGACTTAGCATGGTGGGGAATTTGTGGCTTCCCACTGCCTTCTTCTTGGTATTATTCTCAGACAATTTTGAATAGTGTGATCTCACTTTGACTTGTATTTATTAAATGCTCTTTTTTGAGATGTGATTCACATGCCGTACAGTTCACCCATCAAAGTGGAGAGTTCAGCAGATTTAAGTCTATTCACAAAGTTGCCTTGCCCTCAGCACAATCCATTCTAGAATATTCTCTCCCCCAGCCAACCCCTGTGTCCCTCCCTTAACCATCCCCACAAGTGCCCTCAGCAACCTCTAGCTCCTGTTTTTCTTTTTTTTTTTTTTTTTACTTTTTGGGTCACACCTGACGATGCACAGGGGTTACTCCTGGTTCTGCACTCAGGAATTATTCCTGGCGGTGCTCGGGGGACCCTATGGGATGCTGGGAATCGAACCTGGGTCGGCCGTGTGCAAGGCAAACGCCCTACCCACTGTGCTATCGCTACAGCCCCTAGCTCTTGTTTTTCTATCTGTCTGTTATGGACATTTTATATACATGCAATCACATTATTTTTATAGGTGACATTTTGCTTAAGCTTCGGGCGATTGTTTAGTTCAGGTTCAAGCATCAGTTGGCACTTGGCAGGTGGTCCTGGGCCCAGAGGGTCCCCCAGGCTGAGGCAGCAGCTGGTGTGAAACTTGGAAGCAGCTTTAGAATGTCCTGGAGGGAAAATGAGGTGGTGCGTGTACTGAGCGGGACAAGCCAGGGGGCGCAAGACACGGGAGGATGGTTTCTCCTGTCTGCGGAACGTGAATAACTACCGTGAATGAAGGCGCACCATGGCCCCGACTAACTCAGACGCCGAGCACTATGACAGCTGGCGGCGAGGGTATGAGAGTTGAAAGAGACTCGAGAGGGGTCAGTCAATTGTGGGGTGACACCAGAAGGAGGTGATGAGTGTGGTGAGTCTTACACGCGTGTAAGGATGCAAAGCATGGGGCTGGAGCGATAGCACAGTGAGTAGGGCGTTTGCTTAGCATGCAGCCGTGCCGGGTTCGATTCCCAGCATCCCATATGGTCCCCTGAGAACCTCCAGGAGTAATTCCTGAGTGCAGGAGCCAGGAGGAACCCTTGTGCAATGCCGGGTGTGACCCAAAAAAGCACCCCCCCCAAAAAAAAGCAGCCCGCTACACCCCTGCCCCTGCCCCGCCCATGCAAAGAGTGAGTTTCATCTTAAAAGCACTGGTAGCAGGTGGGCTGGGGGGTGACATGGGGCTGTAGAGCCAGAGAGGAGTTAAGGGAAACTGAAGCTTCACTCTTGAGGGCTGTGTGTGGACCCACCTCACTGCTGGCCTCAGCTGCTGCTTCTCCCTTAGAGGCCTGGAGAGTCTTCTTCCGCTGAGTTACTGGTCTCTGCTGGAGGGCTGGCAGTTCATTGCCCACCACAAGCCCCTCTTCTCCACACTTCCCCCTTTGGATTTGGTGTGACCCTCCCAAGGGCAGGGCCCTGTCGACCCCTCTTGGCCTGGGCCGCAGAGTCACCGGCTTGTGTCCATTGGGCTGTGTGGGGTTAGTGGTTAGTGTGCAGGTGCTGAACCCTGGGGGGTCCACCCTGGATCCTGGGACGCCCCACTCTGAGTCTCATGGCTCCTATTTGGAATCACAGTAATACCTGCCTCAAGGTTCCAGGGAGGGGCTTCTGTCAGGACACGCAAAGGTTCAGAAATGTTTGACAGACACGAAACAATAATTGCTTTTGTAGTTTTTAGCAATAAAACTTGATTCCCACGGGAGCCCTGTGAGTCCCACAGGAGTGCCCACACAGGCAATTATGGCTGGCATCAGGCAGTTCCATGGTCCTGAATGAATGTATGAACGAATGAATGAGTGTCACCCCTCTCTACAGCGACAGAAGGACAGAACTCCCTCTCAGATGCTCCCTCTCTGGTACCTCTCACCTCTGCCGGGCTCCTGAGAAATGGAGAGGCCCAGCCCCAGGACTGTGAGTGGCACAAACAGTGCCCCTCTGTCAGGACGCCCACCCCCCAAGACCCAGGTGCCCTTAGGATGTTGTCTTTTGGTCATTGTTCTGGGGGGCTGCAAAGCTCCCAAGGGCCTGGGGCCACTCCTGGGGATCCTCAGCCATCCAGTCCCTTCAAAGCTAGAACCCCAGGAGGTGGCGGTGCTTGGGCCCTACAGTGCCCAGGATGGCCAGGGGCCACCAGATGCCCCAGGGCAGTGATGCTCAAGGGACCATGTGGTACCCGCCGGGGACTGAAGCCGGAAGTGAACTCCAGGATGTTGCTTTTGGCAAAGATGGTGGGCCAGGCATCCTGTCAGTCACTCATTCATGCCACACCCCCACCCCGGCCCGGGGGTCGCTGTCCCTTCCAGCCCCCGGCCCAGTCACCATGGAACCCTCTCCCTCTGCCAGCCAGAGCCGGGCCTGGTGTTGGATTCCAGCCCCTTTCGCAAAATTAAATATGCTTAAGGCTGCTCCTTCAACTTGAGCGTCTTAACTGATTAAACATTCATTTCCAAGACAAAAAGAGTCAATTTAGTATGAAAGATATATTTTGCCGGTTTAATTTAAAGCCCTGTACCTCCATCTGACCCCTATTTTCATAACTCAATAATTTTATCCTGTGTTGATTGTCTCATTTTGAGAGAGATATTGTATGTATAAATCAGTTTCTAAAATACCCCAAGAAACGAGAAGAGGGGAATTTATTCACAGCTGCTGTAAAGTCGGAAATCATTTATTTGGGAGCTGTTCTTAGATGGCGTTCAGGCTCCTGGTTCTGGTCTAGATGGCAGAGAAATTCTTCTGTGGGGAGACAAAGCGGGGTGCTCCTGGGCAGATTCTGGGACCATTGGGGGCTGAGGGAAAGTCGTGGGAGCACTCGAGAAGGAGCCTTGGAAAACAAACGAGCCAGATTCAGAGAATCGAGTCTTCCCTCAGCCAGTCCTGCGGTTCTCAGGCTCTGGGGGGCCCGTTCCGGACTCCAACGTGGCACAGAATGGACCCCAGCTGGCCTTCAAGCCTCCCCTGCAGCTGGGACACTTGTCTCTCTCCCTGGGACCCCCGCCACATCCTCTTCCCCAGCCTCAGTGTTCCCATCTGCCAGGGGACAGAAGCAAAGCACCTCCTCCATCTCTGTGCTCCTGAGCCACAGGGATCCCCCCACCTCCACTTCCCGTTGACTCTCTTCACTGCAATTCGCTTTCTGTGAGTGTCCCCGCTAGCTCCTGCTGCATGACAAACCATCCGGGAGGCGAGTGGCTTACAGCGGGCAGCGAGCTTTTATTTGCTCTGTGAGGGCTCCAGGGGACGACGGGGATCTTCTGACCTGTGCTGTCCAAGCTGGTTTCCGGCATCAGCTTATAAACTGACTTGGGGCTCGGACGGATAGTGCAGATCTCAGCCCGGACCCCCGTACGGTCACAGGTCTGGCGTGGAGGAGACCAGGGCTCTCGGGGCAGTGCTCACTGGGTTCCAGGAGCACTCAGAGGCCGTGGGTCTCAGTGCACACAACACCCAGCCTCTCTTTTTCCCCCTTTAAATTAAATCTTTTTTTTTTTAATTTTTTTAAAGAGAATCAGTGATAAACACATTTACAAAGTTGCTCACGATTGGGTTTCAGTCACAGAATGTTTCAACTCCCGTCCCTTCACCAGTGTACTTTTCCCACCACCGATGGTTCCCTTTTTCCTCCCTCCGCCCCTCTCCTGCCTCTATGCAGACACTTCTTTCTATCTCTGTCTCTGTCTTTGTCTCTGGCTGTCTCTCTGTGACTGTCTCTGTCTCTGCCTGTCTCTGTCTTTGTCTCCGCCTGTCTCTGTCTCTGCCTGTCTCTGTCTCTCCGTCTCTGCCTGTCTCCCTCTGTCTCGATCTCTGCCTGAGTCTATGTCTGTGTCTGTCTGTCTGTCTGTCTGTCTGTCTGTCTCTCTCTCTCTCTCTCTCTCTCTCTCTCTCTCTCTCTCTCTCTTTCTCCTTTTGGGCCTTTTGGTTTTCAGCCTCTCTTACACCCCACTGGCTGATGCCCCACCGGCCAGAGTAGGACATGAACCTTGTTAAGATCCAAAACCAGCCTTACCCCAGGGGCTTCTCACTCTTGGCTCGGGGTTCCATCCCTGAACCCCAGCTTCCTCCTCTGCCAAGTGAGGGGGCGATTACCTGTCTCTGAGGAGCTCATGACCATCCACTCACTGGACATAGCCAAAGTCCCAGACCCATGCCCGGCACACAACTGGCACTCAGGAAATGTGAGCACCATATCTGGTCTGCTGGTAGCTCTAGGAGTAATCCCTGAGCACTGTGAACCCTGAGCACTGCCAAGAGTAAACCCTGAGAACTGCCCAGTATGCAACCCCTCACTTTATTTGTTTTTTTTTTCTTTTTGGGTCACACCCATCCATGCTCAGGGGTTACTCCTGGCTCGTCACTCAGGAATTACTCCTGGTGGTGCTGGGGGGACCGTATGGGATGCTGGGAATCGAATCCATATTGGCCGCATGCAAAGCAAACTCCTTACCACTGTACTATCACTTTTGCCCCCAATTTATTTGTTTTAATGACCGGCTTGGGCACCCCCAGTTGTCCACCTTGAGCTACTGGGGGCAGTGGTCAGGCCAGCTCAGCTATGGTGCTGCTCCACGAGGCTGGTGTTGGGAAAGGCAGGAGAGATGGCTGGGTCGGGGGCTGGGGAGGGGTCCCCACCTAAGGGCACCAGGAGAAGGTAAATGAATGACCCCGGGATGTCAGTCGCGACTCGGAACTTCAACGTCTCAGCAAAGTGATTCTGCTGCTTGTTGGGGAAACTGCGAGCCCAGAGCAGAATCTTCTAGTGGGTGAGACTGGGGCAGGGTCTGTCTTCACTCCAGCCCAGAG